CTACTGTTACATTCTGAATAGATATTTCCAAGACTCATGATTGTAACTAGTTTTGTCATTATTTTCACAACAAAAAATATGATACAGCACTACTAAAACATTTCATCTATATTTTCAATAACTCCCAAATAGGAAATTTCAGATACATTTCAATCCATGCTGATGGGGGTTACAATATTGACATCTGTCATACCTTGGACGTATATATTCACATCAAAAACTTCTGAAAATAAAACACAAACCATACATTGCTTGAACTGGTAATATAATATTTTGTTTTGCTTCAGGCTACAAAATGTGTACTTCAATTTATGTGAAATGACTGTACTGCTTAATATCTAGTTGCTAATAGGCAGCTGCTTATTAGAACTGTTAAAAAATGTTTTCCTATTACATCACAGCATGTCTCAGAGCACAGTCAGCCAATAATAAGTCCTTTAAAAAGGTAGCAGTACCATTTTAGCAGCTTTGAACAGAATATGGAAGAATTGCCAGCTTGTTTTAACTGTTTAAGTCTTAGAGGTATGGCATTCAGGTTGTATTACACATTTCACATTCAGGTTGCCATTCTTCTTTCTGAAGTAACATCACTTAGAAATTAGAACAGAGGATTTAAGGATGAAATTTTTAATGCATAAAATATCTAAAGGTACTGAGTAAGGTTATTAGTCTGGTACAAGAACTGTAAGGTAAATCAAGCTGTTAGATAAAGAGAAATCTTGGGTTAAACATGTAGAATTTTTGAGAGTTGCAGTGTCTTCTATAAGTGCTAAAATACTATTCTAATCCTTTACAATATGGTATATAGATTAAGAATTGGAAAAGCAGAGCATTTAATTTTCCTCTTCCAGTTTCACAAAAGTCCTGGGTAAAAAAAATAATAATAAAAAAAAAATAATTGCATTCATCCACAAATCTTGTTTGAGGTTTTATAATCTGTTCTGTCCAGCTTACTAATTACAGAGGGTACAGGAAATTCTAAAGTCAATAGTTATTTTTTCATGTAAACATATTTTGAATAACTCTGTTTTTTTGAGCTACCTGGAATATTTAGGTCAGTATAATTTAAAAGTAAATGTAAGTTATTTCTGCATTACACTGGTTTTCTGTTTACATTCAGAAAATGCTATCAGTTACAAAGCTGAAAAACCCACACTAATAGTTTATGACTAACCAATGAGAAGCTAGATGAGTGCATGCATCCATAAATATTTATTTAATTTGTTAATAGAACTCAAAAGTATGTCCTTAATCAGAAAAATGTGCCAAGTTTACTAAAAGGTCTATAAGTGTAAACATTTCTATAAGTGTAAACATTTCATGTTTCTGTAAACATTTTTTTTTAAAAAAAGGGCTACAAATAATTCTTTAGAGGAAAAAATCATAGGAAGAAAAAATGCAATGTGGGATAACATGAATAATCCATTTAAATGTAATTATCTTCTTGGTTACTAGTAGATCATAAATAAGACTTGTTATTTTGGAATTCAGTCTCTTCTACTGACAGACATTTTAATGTATATGATAGTTTTCCAGTTGATTTATTTTCCCTTAAAATTTCAAACTACTTAATTTATATAGAAGTATATGTAAAATGTATATAGACATATACATAAACACACACAATATATATAATATGTGTATATATAGACATACACAGATATATATACATAGCAACAGAACAGAGGGAGAGTATTTTTTAATTAAACATGATTTTTGGAGTTTGATTGACTCAAAAGGACTGTGATTGTTTTCCTGCTTTCTGTTACTAGTCATGTCAGATCATATAACGACCTTCCAAACAATGGGAATATCCTTTTCCAAAAACCTCAAGCCACAAATGGGCAGCAGCTGTGGCAGAATGCCATTTTTATGGTTGTTCTTTTGATTCCCTTCCTCTGCCCCCCCCCCCCCACAAAAAAAAAAAGAGAGGACAAACTTGGTTTGGTGCCTTAAAAGGGATACAGGCATTCATGTGAGTCATACAAAGTTGACCTAGTAGGAGTTGAGGGGAAGAAAAAAATGAAATATTCAAACTGCTGCAGCCTTGTACACAGACAAGTTCAGCTGTCCTCCACCCCCAAGTGAGAAGAGCCAGGAGCAGGGCAGCTGGGCTGGCCGATGGATTCCCACTGGTTTTGTCAGTTCCCATCTGCCACAGGTCTGGCAGCTCAGCAGTCAGCCTCCAAAGATCCTCTAATGTAAAAGACAGGAATCACTGCAGAAAGCAGAATTTACATGGAAGCAGAGTGTATTTTTTCTACATACTCACTTTCCGCATAGTAATGGTCAGAAGAAGGACCCTTCTTCTCTCTTTGTAAATGACCTGCCAAAATAAAATAAGGCATGAGTTAACCTTGAAGAGCAGCCAGATGCCCACTCTTCCACTTCCTCCCTCCTCAACAGGACAGGGCAAAAAAATAAGATGAAAAAGAAAGTGGGTTGAGATATAGACTAGGAGGTCACTTAATTGTTACCATCACTGGGAAAAGAGAGTCAACCTGAGGAAGATTAATTTACTGCCAGTTAAAAATAGGGTAAGATGGTGAGAAATAAAAATAACTAGAACACTTTTTCTCAACCCTTATTTTTCAGGTTCACCTTCATCCCTTCATTCCTTACTCCTCTACCTCCTCTATGCCTTTCCTTCTTCTTCATGCTTTTCCTTGTGCCAGTGTGGGTATTTTCCATGGGTTGTAGTCCTTCATTATAAAACTGCTGCAGTGGGGGTCCTGTTCAGGGCAGCGGGGAAACACCTGCCCCACCGGGGTCTCTCCAGGGCCATCTCTGCCGGGGCGCCCGCGGCCCCTCCTCGCTCCCCCCGCTCTCCCCTGGGGGCTGGCAGGGCTGTTCCTCCCCGTTCCCCTCAGCCCTGGCTGCCGGGCAGCGTTTTGCCCTTTCTGACCCAGGTTCCCCCGCCCGTGGCTGAGGGGCTCAGCTCTGCCCTGCGCGGGGGCCGCTGGAGCGGCTGGAACCGGCTGGAACCGGCTGTGGCCGGCGCGGGGCAGCCCCGCCCACTCCGCACAGGGACCGCCATTGCTGGCATCAGGGCACCTGCACCTGACACATGTTGTGATGTTTAAATGAGAAATAGTTTAGTTTTGTTGAATTTTGTTTCTGTTGGGTCATTCACTATTTTCTCCTACTCTAGTCATTGTAATGCATATATACATCTATGCCTGGGGATTATATACAGAAATTTTAAAATTTTGAGTAAAAACATATACCAAATCACATGGGCCTTGCATTAATAGACCTATACCATCATGGGTGCCCAATGGCATTCTGGTCCTTTCAGAGATTGTGTGCCTGAACCAGAGGTAGGAAGAAGGTAAACTGCATGGTTTGCTGCCACTTTCAAAGCCCCAAAAGTAATGAGGAAAGCTCTTTGGGTCTCCAAGAACACTTGTTACAATCTTGCTGGTATTAACCTTTGTTTTACCAGATCTATACATGTGCACTCCCTTTTTGCATGTCACAACATTATATATATTGGTCTAGCTCCATGGGTTCCCTTTCAATGACATTTCAAAATATTAATCTATTTTTAAAAAATCTTTTTCCTATATCTTAATTCATCATAGATTATATAAACACAAATTTTCCTAAACCAATTATTTTTGTGTTACTTTTCTTCTTATCAACTCTTTTGGCCAATATAAAAAGCATTCATCAGGCATATTTTACCCATCATAATCTGGCTTAAACATGGATTTTGGTATCATTATATTTTCAGAAATTTCCTTGTTATGTTCACTAGCTGTCTTTCTAATAATTATTCCTTTTATTTAAAAAAAAAATAACTAAAATATGTGTCTGTGGAAAATCTTAATTCCTTGTGGTTTCAGTTTCTAGCATTCCATTTTTCTTCTTTTTCAAGAGATATTTTTTATAAAAGTTTCTTACATTGTTTCATCCTGAAGTGTTACTTTTTCCTTCCTTTTTTTTTTTGTATCTCCCTCATATCTACTTTTTACTGCATTTTGTGGTCAATTTCCATTAATATTTTTTTCTTTTCCTTTTCCTTTTCTTTTGATTTATCCTTTGTTTAGTTCCTTCAGTGTATTTCCATAGATCCTATATATTCCCGTGTTTGTAGTAGCATTCAAATTTTGTTCTTGACTTTGTTTTTTAAAAAACTTGCAGTGTCTTTATTTTACTCTGGCAAGGTAGTTTTTGTAATGCAAATCAGTATAGGGTTTCTAAATAGTAGTAGGTTTTTTTCATACTAGCACAGCATGTTTTGTGTTCTTTGTACAGAATTTAAAGCAAATATCTAGTGTGTCTTAGAAAAAAAAAATCAACAAAAAACCACCAAAAACCAAAAAAAACCCTATTTCCTTAAATAGTGGATAGAAGTGATGCTCAAAGAGGACTTGCCAAGCACAAAACTGGGTTATATTGGAATAAGCAGCCTACACAGCAAACTTGGTTCTACTATCTAATCAGTTTTAGTGGCTAACAACCCTCTTCTGTTACCTTCAGGCCCTTACTTTCCTGCCTTTTTTTCAGAGTAACATGCTTGCCTTCCCTGCAGTTACTGCTTTTTGGGATTTCTAACAAAGAGAAGTAACATACTGTGGAAGTACTGGTGGTATCCCATGGCTGATTGGTCTAAGAGGAAAACAACACTGTATGAAACCATGTGTAAAACAGGATATACTACAGTAGTATGATTACCAATATAATGCAAAACATGCAATATATTGCTTTCTTGTTTAGTTCTTTTTTTGAATACAAGCCAAATATACCCTGCTACTTGAGTAGTGGATAGTCTGCAATACCCGTTGTCTATATTTACAGTGTAACACTGGGTGGTAGGTGACCTAAAAGGCAGAATTTATTCTCTGCCATTTCAATATGTCTAAATTGTAGGTTTATATTCAAAACCCAGTGAGAAAAAGAAAAGGCAGTTAATGTATATGTTGGTTAGAAATAAAGAGGTGTACCCAGTAAGAAATTTCATTTTTTCTACAATTGGATTCACACTTATTCAGGAGATTCTTAGTAGTTACCCTGCCATCAGTTGCTGACTAAAGGTTCAGGGACGGGCAAGCAAATAGCTATAAACTAGTATACTGAAGGTTTGATCAGTGCTTGAATCTCCTAGAATTAGTCCAGGTTTGGTAAAAAAAAATAAATAAAAAAATCCTAAGTGGCTGCCTAGCAACTGAGCAAAAGGGAAAGCTCATGTAACACAGCTTCCATGGTTCATTAAAATTTTACTTACACCTTCAGTTCTCTACCCACAAACAATTAGATAGTGACTAGTTAAAAATTGTAGAATCATTGGATTTGCCTGTCAGACAGTGTTACAGTCTGCTTAAAGTGGTTAGATTTGTGAAAATAAATAGTAAAAAAAACTGGGCAAATGAATACGCACTTTCATAAGATTCATCAAGTGCCCCAAGAGGGCTGGAGGAACGATACTGGGAGCAGCAACAAAAATATCCTGAAAGCCTGGAAGATAATACAATGTATCAATTTTAGGAAGCACTTTCTGTCACATGTTGCAATTGCCTTCACTACAGAACACAAGAGTCAAAACACGAAGAACTGTCTGATATAAATGCTATGGCATGGAAAAGGCTGGCTGCAACCTGTCATGGTTTGGCTCAGGATCAGCAATTGAACCAATGACAACAATATTCTCAATACCCTCCCACCAGGGTAGGGAAAGGAGAGAGAGAATAAGGAGTGAGACTTTCCAGATTGAAAACTGGACAGCTTTAATTAAACACTAATGATAAAAGAAAATATGTACCATTATATGCAAATATGTGCAAGACCTTATCACTTCTCGCCACCCCCAAGGGCTCCTGTGGCACTCTCCTTAGCTGTGACCAGTTCCAAAATGTCCTGGACCACTGCCAGAGATAGTGCCAGATCAAAAAAAGGACCTGGGTGTAGAGTTACAAGGCTCAGGAACTCATGGGCCCAGGGATCTCCCAAAGGAGATGGATAGATGGAGTCCTCTCTGGATGCCAGCCGTAAACAGAAGAGAAAAGGAAAAGGGAGGACTTGAATTTATACTAAGAATTATGTGCATATATGTATGGAATATCTCTGGGCAATTTTGCTGTCCTTCTGGTCCACTCTTCCCTATAGATACTACTCTTCTGCTCCTTTAGTATAGCAAATCTGACAAGTAGAGCCAAGTGTCCTTGGTGTCTTGGCAATATCTATAAGCACTGAGCATTATCAGTCCACTAGCTAGTACACTTACTGCTACTTTCAGTAAGTGTGCTGCTTAAAAGGGAGTTCACTGAGGATATTAAAAAAAAAAAAAAAAAAAAAAAAAAAAAAAAAAAAAAAAAGTAAGAAGAAAATTGGCTTCATCCTGGCTCAAACCAGGACACAAGCCAGGTCTTGATTAGTTAGGTCCTGAAGAAGAGGAAGAACCATTAGTTTACAAATGGCTAGTCTGAAAACAGTGTGAAAGCAAAATTCCCTGTAGCACACAGTGTCTCCTCACCTTCATTTTTATTACAACTGGTGAAACAGAGTAGAGATTAGAGGAACCAAGTACAGCACAGCTCTTTCGACAAAAAAACCCAGCACACATATACAAAAAAACAACACAGAAAAAGTAATGCAGCTTAAATGCATTCCAGAATTCATTCTACTCTCAAATAGAAGTTGTGATAACGCTCAGCTCAACAAACAGAAAGTCAAATATGTCCTATTTAGGACATCAAAACCTGTGGTGCTTCTATAATTGTCTGCAAGAGAGATGGAGTAGTCAGGCGATTACCAGAAGAACCTATATGATTGACTGTGGCCTACATCTGTACTTTTATTTATTCCCAGCAATTCAGGAGGAATCTCCCTTCATCCTTGCTCATTTGTACTCTGTGCCTATGGGTTGTCTGAAGCTTACTTCACATACAGGCCTTGGAAGAGCATAAGGGATCATGCAATGCAAAGTTAACAGAAAGATGCTGGTCCCTTCAAAGACCTAAGCCCAAATCTAAACAAACTTCATCTACACTGACCTCTCAGTCTGATCAATAGTGTGTTCCTTACAGTGACCTACAGGAAGAAGCTGAGTGCATCAGTGATACTGCAAGGAGAACTTTCCAAACTCTCACAGGAGATGATGAATACTTGTTCTAATGGACTATGATTTCAGGCTATAAAATCTTCTACCTGCTCCTCTTAAACTATAAGTATAGACACCCAGAATTGGAGGAGTGTTTTTTCATGAACTTATTAACACCAACAACCTACTGCATTCATGGTCATAGTTAGTGGGTTGTTTTTTACTTAATTTTGCAAAAAAACTCTGTAACTCACAAAATAATTGGAAGGCTCACTCTTTTAAAATAAATAATATTCTCCACCTGTATTATCTGTTTTGTTAATCTAGTAAATTATTGGAAGTTTATTTAGAGTAGGACAAAACTCCAGTTGAGAAAGAAAACAAGCTACTGTACTAAAATACATCCAATCCTCACCTCACAAAGAAACATATTACTGTATTGTGGATGGACCAGAGAGAAGTTGAGAGGAGTTGATCATGCATTTGTTAAAGTGGATAGGAAGTACTAGTGTAAAAAAGTAGATGCTATTTCATGCTTGAAAAAAAAATTTCAATTTCATTTGATGGACCAGAAATTAAAAATAAAAATTAGCTATGCCAAGATTGACCTCGTTTTGAAGGTTAAACTTAAGAACATAGCTGAGCATACACACATGTATGCATAAAAATTGAGCCATAAGTAGAGTTTTAATTTCTATGGGTTTAAAAACAAACAAACAAATCTAAACTCTTAAATAAAGTGATAAATTTATCAACAATTGTATTTAATTTGAGAAATTACATTTTGCCACCCTTAGGTATAGAAACTACAGTGAAAAAAAGCCATGCATTCATTTACCTGCCAGATAAGAAAATGTTGAAATGTTGCCATTGCTTCCGAAAAAAAATACCCAAACTTTTTTTGCAGACATTGCAGAAAGCAATTATTTAGAAAGAAATATTTGTATTTTGAAATTTGAAACTTTTAACTTCCCTATCAAAAACATCTATTTGATAAAATAATATTTTTCTCAAGAAAATGTATAATTCCTATTGTATTGATTTTAATTTAAAATGATGGATCAGAAATTAAGAATAAAAATTACCTCAGCTACAGATAAAACAATTTTTGGCAAGTGTAGTTACAAAATATATATAAACATACATTGAAAAACAAAAATAGAGGAGGACTAAGGTAGAAGTTGGGAGTTCTAAATGTGCACATGCACCACCACGTGAAACGTGTATGGATGCTCTTCTTGTAAAAACTTATATGATATGCTTCTTTAACTTCTGTTCAGTTAATATGTTCTACAGATTAAGTCAATGCATGTGTAGTTTGAATATAAGATTATCTTCTAGTCTTAATCAGACAGCTGTATAGAAAACCTAGGTATATTGTGGTTTTTTTTGTGTTTGTTTGTTTTCTTGCTTTATTTCCTACAGCTTATTCAAACCATAAGTGCAGTAGACAAAGATGACCCTCTCGGCGGCCAAAAGTTCTTCTTCAGTTTGGCTGCTGTTAACCCCAACTTCACTGTTCAGGACAATGAAGGTAAAATTCATGCCTGTTACAGTTAACTTTGCTATCCAGTGTACATTCCTGAAATATCTTTGCTTTTGATACCTGTCGATACGTAGAGAAGGCACTAATGCTGCTGCTAGCAAGAAAAATAATTTTACTTGAATGTTTGTGGGTTAGGACTTCTACATTTTTATCTGTGTAAGTAAGGCAAAAATTAACATGACAAAATTGTGAGAAAATAAATTATAAAGAAAATTAGTAAAATTGTTGGTTTGGGGTGAGTAGCCACATGCAGTGCATGATTGAAGGAGAAAAAAAATCTTCAGCTAACAAGTTCAGAGTTTTCACCTTGGTTTTCTGTAACATAGTTTTGATTTTCCTGGTCTTCTGTTTTGCTTTTTCCTGACCATTAATGAAAATAATGGTTCTGAGTGCATAGCCACTTTAGCTTTTCCTTTGATCTTTTGTCAATCTTTCAGAGAAAAAATTCAGAAGATTCTTTTAGGGAAGGGGGGCTATACACTCATTTATGCCCTCATTGTCAACATGACTAACTGATAGGGCTCTAGATTACAGGAGAAATAAATGAGAGGGGACATGGTGTCAGCATTAAAATGTGTTAAAGGCATAAAGGCAATGTGAATAATCCTCTTTTTCTGATGAAGACTTCAGAAAGTAATAAGCTTCCAACAATAGCAGAAGAAAATTCTAACAGCAGGGAAAGTGAAGAATTGAAAATAGGTTGTTTGGGTACTTTATAAAATCCCCAGAAGCAGAAATATTTAGAGATCCATTGGAGACATAGTTTTTCATGTTGAGTAAAAACAAATAGAATAAAAATACCCCGAACTAATGAAGTAGTGCAATAAAGGAAAACTTGATGTTTCATATCATGAAGGCTGTAAAAAAAAATAAAATAATAATGTTTTAAGCACAGATTATATCCTGGTGACTAGGTCATGAGTGTATGGAGGTATAGACCTTGTCATTGCTTTTCTATCTGTAACTATTTTCTTTCTTTTGAGCATGGATTATTTTAATTCACCCTGAAGTTAGTTGGCAGGATAGCTAAAGCGTAATGGAAATTAAATGGTCCTATTAATGGAGGCTAAATCTGTATTTTCTCTCTTTTGAACTAAAAAGTTTGCAAATCTAGTGTTGGCTCACACTAGTGTTATGACCCTAACAACAGGAGAAATATTCTCTCTGTTATTCTGGCCTTCCCTTCCCTTCCTTCCCTCTGGCCACTCAGTAGACAGATTTTGATGCTGAAGTACGCTGCATACAACTAAGACTTTTTCTTCTAAAAATGTAGTTTAGTAAATTCCCTTCTCAAGACAGTATAGGAAAATCTTCTGTCTTTCATGTTTTCTGAATTCCTAAGACAACTTTTACCCCCCCCCCCATGTATTAATGTGCTACAGTACACACAGTTCATTGTTCTACAATGTGTTGAAAGTATTTTGGTGTGGAAAATGTCATACTGAATTTACAGATAGTGTTCCCATGGGTGTTATCATAGAAGATTAATAGAAAGAATCTTTAAAAAGAGCATGCTTGCTGAACAGGGTGAAACAGAAGGTTATTTTTTTCTCAATTGGCCGCTTCATTTCAGGGCTTCAGCCCTGAACTGGAACTGCGTCATGCACCACATGCATTAATCTAGAAAACATTTTAAGCTTGAGAAATCCTCTTTTCAAATCATGCTGAAAGGTGATGCAGAGGCACAGAGAGAGGAGCAGGACAGATGAACATAAAAAAATTATAAATAGCTTTCTGATCAAATGGGAATATAATTATAAAAAGAAAAAGAGATAACACTGATTTCAAAATACTACCAGTTATGTAAAATGTGATGGTTTGCATGTACCATAAATTATACATTTTATATTCATATGCTCTACAACAATGTATTTTAATCAATCTAGATAACACTGCCAGAATTTTAACAAGAAGGAATGGCTTTAGTCGACATGAAATAAGTACTTACCTCCTACCAGTGGTGATATCAGACAATGACTACCCCATCCAGAGCAGCACTGGCACGCTGACCATTCGAGTGTGTGCCTGCGACAGCTGGGGGAACATGCAGTCCTGCAATGCTGAGGCCTTGCTCCTCCCTGCTGGCCTCAGCACAGGGGCACTGGTTGCCATTCTCCTCTGCATCATTATCCTGCTAGGTAAGAAAAAGTAATGCACCTTTTCCCCCATGAACAAATCATTTTGTTCTGACTCATTTTACAAATTAAAAGTGATGACCATGGATTTTGCAAGAAGAATTTAACTGCAACATAAAACAAACAAACAAAATAATAAAAAGCAAAACCCATTTGCCTGAGAATTGGACGTAGTAATAAGAATTCAATTTCAAGACTGTTAAAACTACCACTGTGCAACCTGAAACAAATTTTGTAAAACCTCTTTTGTGGTTTTCAGAATATCACTTTTGACATAAGAAGAGGAAAATATCCTCAGAATGGACATAGCTATTTCAAAACTCATTCAAGTAACAGAAAGAGCATATAGGCAATCCCATGATTCTGTAAAGCAGAGCACACAATATGTGTGCAAAATAGCACATTTTGCTCTAGATCTTCCTTTGCTATCATAGTACAGATATGCAGATGTTTATCCATGTATCAGACACAAACGAATTGCTGAAATATATCTGAAAGAAAGATCTTGTACCTAGTGGATCTGCTAAGAAATGGTTAAATAGAGATTTTTACCCATTCTTTGTTTCTCTCTTTAAGTTATAGTGGTGCTGTTTGCTGCTCTGAAGAGACAACGAAAGAAGGAGCCATTGATCCTCTCTAAAGAGGACATCAGAGACAACATTGTGAGTTATAATGATGAAGGTGGTGGAGAGGAAGACACCCAAGCCTTTGATATTGGCACACTGAGAAATCCTGCAGCTATGGAAGATAAGAAGCTTCGACGAGACATTATCCCTGAAACATTATTTGTACCACGGAGGACTCCTTCAGCACCAGATAACACAGATGTCCGTGATTTCATTAACCAAAGGCTGAAAGAGCACGATACTGATCCTTCTGCACCTCCATATGACTCGCTTGCAACCTATGCCTATGAAGGAAATGATTCAATTGCTGAATCCTTGAGCTCTTTAGAGTCAGGCACTACTGAAGGAGACCAAAACTATGATTACCTCCGAGAGTGGGGCCCTCGGTTTAATAAGCTGGCTGAAATGTATGGTGGAGGAGAAAGTGACAAAGACACTTCTTAACTTACAGCAGCCTACATTTTTGTTTCCTTTGAGGGGAAGTAATTTTACAGACACCGTCTACACTCAACAGTATTTAACATTCAGGAAAATTTTCCTGCCACTCAGCACAATGGTTTCCTTTTAAAATTTGTTTTGAATTTGTTCATTAATGTAATTAATTCTTTCTAGTAGGGTGCCACTCGGAGTATATACAGCATTTTATTTAATCACCTTCCTAGAGCCAAAGCTATGGAAAATCAGTGTTGTCCATTTTAGTAAGTAAAATAAACAATATTTTACCTTCTGAAATTTGAGCAGGATGATAATCCCTTAAGCAACCTCGTGTACAAGCCGCTTCTGTTAGGTACATGTCCTATCCTCGCGAGTGCAGCTTTTAAGATGACAAAGAAGAAAAAATCTAGTATGTCCTGTTCTGTACATTAAAATTAAAACAAAATGTACATGTGGTATTAATAAGTGTAATATGCAGTTGGTTAAAAAAAAAGTTTGTGCAACTTCATTTCATCAAATTCTATCTGCCAATGTTTTATATTTATATTTTTGTATTTATTTTTAAGAAATAAACCAGTTTTTACAACTATGTTGATGTTTGCCTGCCTGTTCTGGCCATCAATTCCAGGCCTGAAGAGGATATGAAATTTCTTGAATGACAGCACATCCAACTGCCTGTAGTTATATGTTGCAGTATTCTCCATATATTTAACAGATTCTGAAATGCTTGTGCTCACAGGGAGAGGCTCAAGTTATAGATCCACTTGCTCACTCAAAAGTGCTACTTCCTATAGTTGTCATGTTTAAGTGAAATTTTATTTTTGAGCTGAACCAGTGATACTCTGTTCTAGAAAGAGGAGCTGTCTCAGCTTGAGTTCCCTATTCTAAAAACGTTCTGGTACAACTAATCCATCCAGACATAAGGAATTAGTTTTAAAAACTGACTTTGCTGTAGTTTCCCATTTTGAATCACAATTGCATCATCAGAGATTATGTGTAACTGTAATAGATAAATCACAAAAAGTTGTTTAAACAGTCTTTTTTAAGCATTATGTTTTTCCAAAGACAAATTATTTGATAACACACCACTGTGTGATATAATGCAACCATCTGAGGGTAACCTAATCTCTTTTAAAGCTGTCAGGTCGAAGGCTGAAAAAGTGTCAGTAAATTAACACACCTTGCACCAAATGTAGTGGGTTTTTTTAAATTGCTAGCTTGGGATAGTCTAGTAAAAAGAAATCTGGACAACTAGCCAACTGTAACAGAAATAATACTTCAGCTATCACAGAACAGAGTAGGTATCCCAAGACATTTTAAATTGTCTCTTCTTTATTTCAATCTTTAGATTCCACAAATCTATTTAGTAAACAAGCACTGCGATTTTCAAACATTGCTGAGATGGAATAATTTCATAACATGAACAGGCTATCTTTGGGTCTGTATTTGCTTAGCTATTGCAGAAGAAACACATCTGAAGGATAATCCATGCTGTGTCTCCCTTAACTTCTTGCTTGCATAAAATCAACAGATATTGAAAATAAATTAGTTCTTTGAAGAGTGAAATGGTACATTTGTATTTTATCAGATAGTTATTTTCCTTAGTGGTTAAGTGATTAAACCTAATGAAGCTGAAAGCTGAATACAGTGCCATTATGCAACCTATTTTGATGCAATGGAGACAAAATTTTTATTGACCTTATATCAAGTTAAATTATTTGATCTATTGAGATACTGTTAAGATTATGGATTTTTTTTTTTTTTTTTTTTCACTGTATAATACTTTCATTAACTTGGGAATTTTTGTGTTCTTTAATAGAAAATATTCCCAAGAACATTAAGAAACATCTTAAATACTCAGCATTACAAAACTTTGTAGAAGTCTTATAGACCATACAAACAGTTGATCTTTATGATTATTTAGTGAAAGGGACCTAATTTTTTCTTCTTTCCTGGTCTCCATTTCTCCTTCAACAATGTGCAATAGGAATAAACTAAGAAAATTAATCCATTAAATCCATAAATAGCCAAAAGGCACTCTTCCAATACTGTTTTCTGTCTGCACCAATGTTAGGTAACATCCTACATATTTAATTATCTATTAGGATGGAGGAAAAAACAGGCTGTAATACAGATGGTTTTTACCTCTTTGTTCAAAACAAGATTTTGGTTGAACAGGTCCAACCAACATTTTCACATGTAACCCAGTAAGAATCTCTGGTTTGTTTCCAGAAAGAAAAAAAACAACCAAACAAAAAACCAACCAAACCAAATACAGACAGCTCCATTACTTCTTAAATAGATCAGCAAATGTCAAATAAGACTCTTGTTGTTTTGATTCACATTACAGTACTTCTTTCTGAATAATAACTGTATGGAAATAATTGTCTATCACTACATTTTAGGAAGGCATTTTATAATAGTTCAGCAGAATCTGAACCTAACTTTTAAAATCTAATCTTGTATGCATTAATAAATAAAACAGTAGCATACACTGTGGAAATATATAATAATTCATAAACATACTGTTAAAATTATTATCGAAATAATATAATTGGAAATTGTTTTTTATCCCTTGCTGCATCCTTGGAGTTTTATATCTCAGTACATTTTAAGAAAAAGAAACATAAAAAAAAAAAATCAAATCAACAGTATATATGTTAATTTCCTTTCCACTGCACAAATATGTGCCATTTTACTGTACAAATACAGCAGCCTGATGAAAGCAGGCATAGGAACATGCAGTCACCTGTGCAGACAGATTGTAAAAATGCATTCAGGAAGTCATAATTGATTGTCATACCTAATTTATTTTAGGAAATGGATCATTTAAGCAACTGAGTTTGGTCCTTAATATTAGACTCAGTCACAGGATAGTCCACAAAAAATGTTTCCCATATTTCCCATGCTCTTACATGCCACAGATGTATCATAGCTGCATAGTTAAATATAAGGCCATATTGTAGATTACAAAAGCCCTGAGTATCAGATGTCAAGAAAGGGAGAAGAAATGAAGCAAGAGCACTATCTCAATGTCTTTCTTAGACCCTTACAATATTGAGAAATTGGAAAGTGACACTCCCTATCAATTCAAAGTAGAGAAAATATGAGATGCAATACCTGCTTCCCAAGTAGTACCTACTAAACCTAGCCACATGAAATGCTATTAAACTTAACAAAATGTAACAACATATAGTAAACAAGACCCTGATACTGATTAGTCTGAATAAATTTTCTACATATCACAAAGTGCTACAGGACCACAAAAAAGCCAGAAAGAAAATATATAAATGTTATATTTCAGGTGGAAACTACAAATTACTTACAAGACAGACCTTATGAATGTTAACCTATTCAGGAACATATAAAAACTATTGCAGCCATTGGACTCCCAGGAAACAGTGAGTTCTTAGAATTTGTTGACATTTATTTATTTATTTTTGTAAGGAATTTTATGAAAAGTGTTATGTACAAGATCTTATGTTAACAACTAAAATAACAATATTTCATAGGGTCTTCAGAGAAACGGCTGATGGTAAGAATTGTCTCAGAAGATTGAAAAAATACAGGGATTAAACCAATAAAATCTTCATATTGCACATCATCAGGTCAATATCCACCAGCTGCCAGCCCTGTATATACAGATATTTTTCACTCAGTCACTGTTACAAGGTGTCACATTTCGACCATTTGGCCTTCAATTGCAGGGAAAAATATTACATTACTGTCAGTCAAGAGTCTACTTTTCATTCCTCTCACTCATTGCCTAGAGTGACCCTATTGCCCTTTAACCACATGTTCACATAATGCTTTTTTAAAAAAAAATAAAAATATGCTTATGCTACCTGTCACGCAAAGTTGGAAGAAAAATAACCAGATTTTCTACACTGACCTCCTTCAACATTATTATAATTTACCCCAGGTTAATTCAAAATGGTTTGTCTTTATTCTAAGAGAACTAAAATTATTTTATAGTGTTCCTCTAGGTTTATCCAACATTGGGGAAAAAATAAATAGTTTCTTTTGGTCCATCACTAACAAGTAAAAAGAAAAATTGATGAACTTTTTAGGAAGCTTATTAGTAACATGTATGTGATATAGGTATATCAATAAAAGACTTCAAGCTTCCTTACTTTTTGTCAAATGAGTGAACTGGAAATCTGCCTATAAAAGCTACCAAAATAATTCAAACACTGCATTATCATTATCAGATGACTTAAACAGCACAGAAATCACCCAACAGTAATCTGCTTACAGTAAGATGAGCAGATGTTCAAGCTAAAACGATTTCACTTATTGATAGCAGTGTTATCTATTATGTCCAAAAATATTATGTAAATAATATACATGAGGAAATAATAGCAAATATAAAGAGACAAGTGAGATGTTTTTAATTTTTTTTTTCTCCAACAAAATGTCATGGGCTTGTCTTCTGTCTCTAGTTTTTCAGCGGCTTATTCGAGCTCTGTTCTAATATGGTTGAATTAGCTGATAAGAGGTTTTTCACATAACTGATGATGTAAAATATACCAACATGGGAATTAACAAATACAATAAGCCAGATATACTTAAAGTTTGGGGTTTTTTTCTTACTTTGCAGCTATTTTTGTTTTCATTTTAAAGAACTAGAGACAACTATGAAATCAAACTGACAGTTTTTGAAGTGATGTTTTTTTACTGAATAAGATTTTTTTTTTCAAAAAATAATTTTCCAACCAAATATATAGCTTTTGAAAAACCTTCGTTGTATTAAAGTTGATGTCAAGCTCAGTAAACCATGAAAAATAAAAAATTCTGTGAAAATAAACATGACATCTTCGATTATTTTTTTTTATTTTTTTTTGCTACAAAGAGAGATCAGATATATTTTGAATATATACTTGGCAAAATGCTACTGAACATTTCCATTAATATTTACAAAACAATATTTTCATTATTGATTAAGCATTGGAAGGAAAACATATTCTAAATATACTTGCATCCATGTTTAGGTTCTGTGTGTGGAAACTTGCAGTAAGCTTCTCAGGTCTGTTTTTTTGAGGGAAACAGAACAAATTCTAATTGAAATTAATAATAATATTAATTAAAATGCCAGAGGAATGCCAACAAATCTAGAAAGTATCTTTTATGTTCCAAATAGTGTATAGGATGTCAAAGTAGGGAGACTTGCAACTGTACAGCCCCAAAAAAGTACAGCAAATCCAATAAAATACTCAATAAACCCTGAAAAGCTTTGGAAGTCATGACAGTGTTGACGAACCGTATTTTACGGA